GTACTAGTTATAATTACATTTAGTATTTTAAATAAAAATGATTCAACTGGTCATCTAGTTAAACCCTAACCGATTTCTCATTCGATTTGACCTAGTTTATAATTACTACATTATATAAGAGAGAAACTTGAGCAAAAAATATTCATCCCAAAACAACTCTATATGTGTTTCTATGAAAAACTATGTCTTCACTGATTTGTATAAAAAATAGTTTTTAAAACTATATAAGGAAAAATATCAAATAATCCTCCATATTAGTATATGAACAAGATAATGATGCGACAGAATCGTCAATACCTAAATCGATAATTTATTTCAAAAATTTACCATCAACAACACATATAAATAGAATATATGTGTAGATTTCTAAAAAAAAATTTAGATTCCAAAAAATTAAAAGTGTATATTATTATTTTCAATTTAAGTACATAACACTTTCCTTGTATCATCTTTCCATTGAAGTTTTTAATATCATTTCAAACAATTTTCAGTTTTATTACCATGATGAATATATCTTAAATGAACCAGTAAACAGAACAAACCCTAACAAAATTATTTATAGATTTTACGTAGATCTAGTCTATCAATATTCATTCCCCCAAAAAGTCATTACTCGAGAAGTAAATTAAATTTAATATTATCCAAAAATAATAATTTCATTTATGAAAAATATTTGCATGAACACACTCACATGTTCTTTGAGATTTGCGTTTTCCGAACGCAGCTTTTGGAGACTGAGTTCACGCTCTTCTTTCCCAAGAGGAGGGCCACCACATGGAGGACAATTCACAGTCTCAAGAGCGTTTCGCATTGCTTCGTTCTCAAGCCTGATTCTCATGTTCGCTGCTTTAAGCACTGTGTTGTCTGCCTTTTCATTCTGGGCCTATATAAATATAATCGAAATTTCAATTTTTTCTTTTATAATCAGATTTTCAAGGCAAAGTTCAGTTTAATCTTGTAATATGCAATATATTTCTGTGTAAGGAATGACTAGTAAAATATTTTAACTTGGTTTAATTATCATTTAATATATGATATTAAATTACAACCTAAAAAAAAACAGAAGATAAAGCAAAATAAAATAAAATTACTTTGGTTTGTGTTCTTTTGTTCTGAAACCAAAACTTAATTTGTTTCGGTTTCAGATTCAGTTCTTCACTCAAATTTTGTCTCTGCGAATCATCTGGATGAGGACATTCCTTGAAATACCTTAAATCATTAAAAAAAAACATTAATTATGACTTAACAGGCTATTAATTAAAAATATAATAAAGACTGATTAAATTAAATGAAGATCTTACGCTTCAAGCCTTTCAATCTGAGCATTTGAGTGGCGATGGTACTTCTTATCCTGATTGTTGTTCATCGAAATTTCCCGTTCATCACTTGAACTGTCATCACGGCTAGACTCCATTTTTTGCTTTTTTCTGAATTTTTTTTTTATAACTCAAGTGAAAGAAAGTATCATATACATAATATATAGAAAAACTGTTAAAGACAAATATAGATAAGAATTTTATTCCTTTTTCAAGGTTTTAAAATTTTATTCTGTGGCTTTAGTTTTCAATTAATAGATAAAACCATAAATTTAATTAATATAAAACAAATATAATTAATTAGTAGATAATGACCAGGCCTCAATAC